GTATTGGGTTAACTCATACGCTCTTGATATAGATAAAGAAATTTTATTCATATTATCAAGTAGAACGCACTAAAACTCCACTTTAAAAAATTATGAATGATTGATTCAAATTCCTCAATTAGTGCTTTGAGCTTAAACTAATTATTCTCATTTAGTAATGAGCTCACTCTCGTAACTCTAACGAAAATTCAATTTTTACAGAGAAATTTACTCCAGCGCCCACAACTGCAAATCATGACGCCATTCAGATTACAGGGAAGACAATTTACGTGAAATAAGAGCTATATAACCGTCCTCCTCAGCTAGGCGCAGTTAAGCGGTACGTGCAAATTCAATAGAATAATTGAATAGTTGTTTGCATTGTATTTTTGATACCGTAGCTTGTAACTGTAACTGGGTTATATTTGGTAACTATTTACACGTTTCCTCTAATCTTACAGAGCACAATGATTGTGTCCATTTCATTAGCAAATGGAACGAAAATTTCTACTTGGGCAGAAACAAAAACTATTCCGATCGAGAGTCACAGAGGACTAATTAAAAGCAATAATAGCAATAATAATATAATAATAATAGCAGTAGGTAGCAATGACGCGGTCCCTGCTGTCGCCCACACACCTCAGGTCTACCGCGTAGGTCACCACTACACCAAATGCCTCAAGAATGATATAAAAGTTTAGATTCGCACCACAATATATGATTCATAGTGTTTCATGTATTTCTGTATTCAGTGACTGAGATGCCTTTATAAACTATTCAATGCACTACTGCAGTACAAAAATATCACGAGACTCTCTGCACCAGGACCTGTTATAATTAATATAGCCTATTTAGATAGTAGCCTAAACAATAATTAATGAACGACCTAAGAGTCTCCACGTAACGTTGCGGTGACTGGAGACTCTTTTAGCGGAGAGACTGTTGACTCTTTAATTAGCGACATTTTACAGTGCATTGCGGTATGGAAGCTTCAATGTTGTTAATTGAATATCGTGAACATTTAAACTTAGCTATCAAGTATAAAAAACTGATCTATAGAGACAAATAAATTAGTAATAAAATATCATAAATACACAGAAGATTCTCAGTTTAATTTTTTTTTAAGTTTCGATGCATTAATTGTTGATTGAAACAAATTTAACTTCCGAGAAATGATTTTTCGATCCTTCATTGAGAGGCCGATCAATTTTTATAAGGGACTGGTGAGCTAATGTAGACGTTTAATTACCTTACTAAGAAGATTTTTACCCAATATTATGTTAGATATTGTATAAGAATAGGTTCGCCGCTGCTGACGTAAATGAGAGGATAATCCATAGTTTCAAAATTGACAACGGTGCAGTGAACATAATTTAAGGCCGCCTTGACATGAGCTTTATTGATTCCAAGATAATTATGGAATGTCGATGAAATTATTACCATACCGAACACAAAAAAAAAATAAAGAGATTTACATGCCGGTGGGACTTTTTCGTCCAACCGGCATGTAAATTGTTAAAATTAAATACACGATTACTCAAATCGAAAATTCGCCATTAATTCTGTAACAAAATGAAGAACACATTGGCCACGACTTTAATGAAAACGTTCTTAAAGTCAAGAGCATCCTCGCGTCGTCGTCGTCGTCATCGTCATCGTCATCGTCATTATCATTATTATTATTAATTAGGTCTTTTGTTACTTGTGAATAGTAGCCTTGTAATTATTAGTGTATATCAGTATATCAGCTGTCGTGGTAGTTTCCAGAAGTGCAATGTATGATCTTCAGAAATCAGAATATAGGTATACAATTGGAACAAGTGTTAACTTTTGAATTAAAAATAAAAGAAAAATTTGCTAATGCAAATTGTGTACATCAACATATTTGTGTTCCTACAATGAAATGATGTTTCGTATTATTGTTCAGTAATTATTGTAGATTGCATTGACAAATTTATAATAACAAACCGAATTGATAAAATAATGAACCAAAATTTGATAATTACGGAGAATTTCTACGAAGCGCGCTCTCTGGTGCCCGCCAAACTTCTTTAGCTATGCCGACTTGCCTGCCAAGCAGGCTGGTAAAATGTCCTAATTGAAGAGTGAGAAGATCTCAATTTTTAAGTTTTCATATTTTATTTAGCTTTGCATGAGTTTAAACCGATGACGTTAACGGGCATTTTATTGAGTTTGCATTTGGAAAGTTCCCAGGCCACGCCGGCAATTCTTCAATGCCGAAATTATTTAAGAAGCTTTTTTATATCACCGGCTCGATGACAAGGAGCTAAATCGTGCTGGAAAAAGCAAATTAGGTCAGGAAACTGATTGTCAATTGAGGGAATAGACTCTTCGCTCTGAACTTTTTCGTACCAAACTTCACTCATTACCGTGTTTGTGGAAGGAGATGAGGTGTTCCTGTTCCCTGAACTAAGAAGCAGCCCCAAACATGGACAGTGCCTGGATGTTTCATTTTGGGCGCAAGATATTCCGGATTGAAGAGCTCACCTGTCCTCCTCCTCATAAGTACTTTGCCAGAAATGCCAATCAACTGGTAAAACATGAATGACAGGCTTATTTTTTGCAGGAAGTACACGGAATGGACCGCTGAACTGTGGGGCAGATTGATGTTCTCGGATCCAGGGTTGATTGGCACTTCTAGCAAAGTCCTTGTTGTAAATAACTACATAAGATTTTAGATATATTCGTCCAAGCTAAAAATAATCAATCGTCAACAAAGTTTGCCGGAAATCAACAGATGTCGGGAGAGTCCTGAACGCCGCCAGCAAATGCCCAGAGCTGGCGGCGAGAAAGAAGCACAATAGGTGTTCTCATCCAACGAGCTCCGAATATCTGCTCATCTGGAAATGACTTAGATATACGGAGCTGGGATATTACAAAAGATTATTAGTTAGTAATAGATTTTCCAATATAGAAAACTCTACACAGAAATCTCAAAACTTTGATCAAACCAAAACAGACTCAACCACGAACCTGAGACTGACGCAAACGTCACACATCAGTGACGTCACACCCATCTACTATATACGAGAATCAAATGACCAGCTGTTATAAAGCAGATGAATGGATTCTTCAATCCATCGTCCACAACAACATCTAAGCGTAACTAATAAAAAAATTAAACACCTGATCTGTTATAATAAATAAAAAATACAGAATCGTGTAATGAACAATAACCCCTGCAAAAAACGGGAGTTTTCAAAGAGACCAATGTAGCCTATCAATTTTATTGCAATTAATAGAGAAGGTTGTAGAATTCTCCTAAATATGGACTACATCGGGCTGACAACTATGACATTAAGCCCATGTCTCACGTGCCACCTTCAGTCTGGTGGACCAAGGAACCACCTGATGGAGGCCCACAACGAGACCATCACTCGTACAGTGCTGGAGGAGTGCACCAGCGTCGTCATGCGATGCCCCGACGCCAACCGACTCGCGGTAGCTGAGGCCCTCATCATTAAGGATGGGACTCGGGCCATCAACCTTCAAACTACTGGATTTGTCAGTACCTTGAGACTGTTCTCGGGGTAATTTTTTGTGATTTAATTCATGTTAATCGTCATATTTTAGTGATTTGGCAATTATTTCTAACCAAATTACTTCTTGAGTAGTATCCTATTGGCATGATTTTGTACTTATATCGATCCAAATTTTATCACTCAATGCGTCTTTCAACTTAATAATGAATCTTTGATACATTTGAAACGTTATTAACGCGTTAAATGTACTCCATCTGATGTCTTCTCTCAGGGCCTCTCCCTCAGTAGAGGGCTCCTAGTGCCAATCTCGCCACTCTATTCTGTACCAATTACAGTTTATCTAGCTCACCATCACTATATACTATCTTATCCAATCCACACATAATACTATTTGCTACCACAATCTTCCACACTTCCCTCAATGCTTCATACTTGTTCGCTCTCACTTTTGCTGCAATTCCAAGTATACCCAACCATTGATTCGACTTACCTAAATTCACGGCCATTGTTTTCTGAAATCCCTCCTGATCCACACGCATCCCTAAATAAGTACCTATACTCATTTGTCGTAACAATCTCATTCCCTCCCAACATCCTCACTCCGCTCATATCCTCAACCGATCCATTCACAGCAAGTAAAACAAGTTGCACTCGAAACTTAGAGCTTGCATTTAAATGTTGCACTACCAAATATCTAACATGCATTAATGTCTAAAATTTCATAAATACCAACAAATCAACAAATGAAATCTCACACTTGCTCTCTAAGCTGAGTAACAAAAGGAACACCGCTCAATAATGAATTTTAAATTGCTTGCTTTGTTGTTAATAAGAAAACTGGTTTAGATTTTAGGAAATTTTGAGTGCTAAATGTGCTCAATGTTATCGTTCAGCGCGCTACATGAGGAGTGCGAAAAATTAACAAATCTGGCAGAAACTTATGGTGATTAAAAAGCTTTATCGTTGATTAGGTCATGCTAAGTTCTAATTTGACAAATTTCGCGTAAGATATTGAAGTTCTACCCATAACTCGTTCCAAATTGTATCCCAAAGGGGCAGAACAGTCACTTATACATGAATTTTTCAATATGAGTACAAACCAGCTGGCGTGACGGAATACAATTTGAGAAGATAGTGCAATACAATTTGCGTTCATCGTACATACCGTGTTCGAAGGAGAAATTTTGAGAGATGTGGTGCGGTTTGTATACCATTCAATTGAAACTGAAAGACAAAAAGCTAAAGAAGGTGGTTATTAAACTGGTAAACCAGAATTTTCCGAATTTATATATATGCTTCGTGTGTTATTTATATACAGATAAAAGACCGCTGATTGTGACGTCATCGGTTTAATATCTATTATTACATATTTTTCACCGTTGAATTATTCAAATTTTTTATCATTGTTATTTATGATTTACAAAGTTCACTTATAATATTGTTTTAAATTATCATGATTATACAGCTGTGCGCACGTATGGTGATTTTGTAAGGATCACTTTGTGCATTTAGACCTTGTGTTTGGCACTGAGTTGTGCCAGAAGCTAACGCCGGTGACGGGGACTATGCTGAAAGGGGCAGCAACACGGGCTTTGCCCAGGGTTTTCCCACGCGTTAAACGTTGCAGTCAAAATTTCAGAAGCTATCAATCTGCAGCATGGTGTGCTGTACCTCGTGAAAGGTATGCATTATGTGGATTAGAATCATTTCTAAGTCAAGTCACATAATGATAATCATGAAATTCATGATGTACCTAGCTACCAGTATGGCACTAATGTAATGGCAGTACCTACCACTGAGACCTGAGTAGACTGACCAGTGTCCGGTGACCACTGTAACAGAGTCTGTTGACTCTGTTGAATTAGAAATGAACTGGTTTTTAAAATTAGTTTGCAACTAATTAGTAAGTCCTGACAACTGACATGGTGTGAAAAGGGCACTCAGTATTATAATGTGTGAATACTGAATATATAGAAATTTAAATCAAAGAACACTGCAAATTTGCAAAAATTCAGCATACCTATCTCTATTGAAAAATGTTTAGAGACCAGCTCCATTGTCAGTTTGATAAATCTAGAACACAAATAGAGTAGGTAGAGATAGTAAGGTTCCATTATTGATTTTTCACAAATTAGGTAGGGTAAACGCGGTATATTCCGACACATTAAGGACGCATCGAGAAATGACGCTATAAAAAAAGAAAAATGAAATGACGCTATAAAAATGAGCAGAAAAAAAATATAAAAATGAATGAGAAATGACGCTATAAAAAAAACGTATGCGTTACGTAAGTTCTGTTGCCTTCACGTGACTCTCAAAACACTTCACTANAAAACTATGAGAGGCAGGAGCCAGCAATTTATGGTGAGTGAAGCTAGAGTATAGACCTGTATTTTGCATGTTTCAATTCAAGTTTAATTTAGCTAGTAAAAAAAATGGCATCATTAATAAAAAAAAGTGGTCTAAGTTACCCCATTTTACGGTACTAATGTGAATTATAATTTGTGAATAATCAATAATGGAACCTTACTACATCTACTTTATTTGTGTTCTAGATTTATCAAACTGACAATGGAGCTGGTCTCTGAAACATTTTCAATAGAGATATGCTGAATTTTTGTAGTGTTATTTGCTTTAAATTTCTATATTTACACATTTATATAAGAAAGTGGATCAAAAATCCTACCACGTTACATGAATTACACCTTCCACTACTATGGCAATCAATACACTGAGCCAGGATTTGAATTTTCCTACTCATTTCATAATTCATAAGGTTCCAGAGGCAAAAGAAAAGCATCCCAATTTACCCCTGGGAACAGGGTAATAAGGGACACTTGGAATAAAACCTAATTTTTTAACATTTGAAGAATGCAAAGTGTACTCATCCATTACCAACATTACAGTTACTCTGAAGTCCTCCTCTTCCTTTGTGTTTGTAGATTATGTAGATGTGGAATAAATTATATTTCTAGATTTTTACTTGTTTTTCCATTATTGATATTATATTGCCACATCCATACAGTATCATATTATTGATGTGAAGTTACTATATTCATGGACATGCCATTGAGCATCGACAATGAATGACCTTGTCCACTGAAATCTTCATTTCAGCAGCCATGTAGCATTTCTTCTGTATCTGTAAACTTGAAGGGTGGTTTGTAGGCTAATTTCACACCATCACCATTTTAATTAGGTGAAGTGAATACACTATAACAAAAGAAGATTTAAAAAAAAACTTATCTGAAACAGAAAGAAATATAGAGTGAAAACCATCTATTTTTTTTAGAAATGAATCATAGTTTAGGTTAATTACTTTTTTCATTCCATCTATTGCATTCTTTCCACACTCAGGATTATGTATGTTTTCAGGGAATTTTCCCTCGCATTTTGACTTTTTTCAAGCCATTGCTGTGCACAGTTGGTGCAACTTCTGGCCATCCCCGCTTGCACGCGCAAGCGTCGGCGCAGAGCGCACATAGATTTTGTCAAGGGACAAGAGAAAGAAAACGTATAATACTTAATAGGTATGCGTTTAATTATCCATCAATAATCTATGATTTTCCTTGATATGGAAATTTTGTGAAAGTAAAAATGTAGAAATTTATTTTTGATGCGAACTGACGAACATCGTTTGTTTACCTTCCGTAGACCATCCGGACGTGAGGCAATATTCTGTCTGGACGTGAGGCAAGTGGTGAATAACCAAGTTCTCAGAAATTGGACATATGAAGTAAACAAGTATTAGTGTTAAATGACATATTTTGCTCGTTCTATATATACTATTATTGCGCTGATAGGGTTATTAGAGATTCTACGGTTAATGAGAGGAGTCAGAAATAATTTCATCGTTGTAATTAATGGAAAATAGTTTTGAGTGCAAAATCTTTTGTAAATAAAATATGTCCTGACATAACTGTCATCAGAAATACCCAACATCGTCTTTACATACTTTTACGCAATGCTGATTCATCTTCATGTGTCATGTGATGACATCTCAGACAAATTTACGGCCGGTTTCGCGGCTGGACTCTGTACCTGAAATATCTCCCATAGTACTGAACGTAGCTCAATGAAACTTGGTACACATATTCATTATGGCCTAACTGATGTCTAGATTGTGACAATTATTTTTAATATCGCCTTCATTCGTGAGTTATATGACGAAACATCAAAATTTGCAGTGTACCAGCCATTTCTTCTAAAATACTAAACAGATTTTAATGAAACTTTGCATTTAGAAACCTAGCCTCCCAACAGTGATGTTTAGCTCGTGACATTTTTTACGTTTTGCCTTCGTTGGTGAGTATTTTTCTCTTTTCCCTCATTCGTGATTTAAGCAGCAAAATTGTGTTTAAATTCGCAGTGTACCAGAGATTTCTTTTAAAATGCTGAACAGATTTGAACAAAACTTTGCATTTAGAAACCTAGCCTCCCAACAGTGATGTTTAGCTTGTGACAATTTTTTCGATTTTGCCTTCGTTTGCGAGTTATACGGAGAAATGACCAGCATTTCTCAGGCCGATTTTTGAACTTGCATTGACCAAGAGCCATATACGTAAAGCCATTAGGTTTCTATATGCAAAGTTTCGTTCAAATCTGTTATGTACCATTTTAGAAGAAATCTCTGGTACACTGCAATTTAAACACAATTTTGCTTTTTAAATCACGAATGAGGGAAAAGCAAAAAATACTCGCCAACGAAGGCAAAACGTAAAAAACTGCCACGAGCTAAACATCACACCGTTGGGAGGTTAGGTTTCTATATGCAAAGTTTCGTTCAAATTTGTTCCGTACCGGTATTTTTAGAAGAAATCTCTAGTACACTGCAAATTTCGGCACGTTTCATCATAGAACTCACAAATGAAGGCGATATTAAAAAGAATTGTCATGCCCTTGACATTACCATTAGGCCATAATGAATATGTGAACCAAGTTTCATCAAGCTACGTTCAGTACTTTGGGAGATATTTCAGGTACAGAGTCCAGCCGCAAGACCGGCCATAAATTTGTTTGAGACCTATGTATGAGTCTCTTAAAGCTATTCATATTTCATTAATGTTTGTTGTTAGTCTATATAATTAACCTTCAAAGTTGCAAAAAATGAGAACTGACAATTAAAAAGAAGTGCATTGCCTGCATTTTTGTTTTCAATGGGTTTGCACCACACAAACCCATTTCTCCAGCCGGGAGGATGTCGGGAACGTAACGTATTCCTGACATTGACATTCGGGTTTGTACTATTTAACAAAGTCAGTCCTTCATTAGAAGGAGCCAATCTCAAGCCATGTGAATTGTCGCCTTCTACTATTCAGTTTTGTAATTAATTTCCAACCGAATTGTTATCTATGAATAATTATTCATAACATTGCCGACTCTTAGAACCTGATTTAACACGTTAGAAATCTAGTCAACATGATGCAGATATTTGTTTGTGTGTGATAGCATTGCCGCGCATTCATCTTTAAACAACTTTAGGAGCATGGCACAGGCTGATGCACGGTGCACTTTTTACTGGCATATTACGGCGCACGGCACAAATTGATGCAATGATAATACAAATTCCCGCGCACCTGGCACATCTTCCTGACCGTGGCATTCTATGCACAATTTTGTAATGACTGATGATGCATTCATTTTTCGTTAAGTGAAATTTTTTTGCTGAGCAAATTAAAAGTAATCAAAATTCTTTATTTCTAATTAATTTTTTAGTTAACTGGAGCCTTTGCTACAAAGGTTCTACTGTAAATGCATTTTTAGGGATGTCCCTTATTACATCAGAGATGTGTTTCTTATTTACCCTATCATGCAGGAATGGCTGATATTTTTTTTATTGAGCTACACAAATTTAATCAATCAGATTTGTCAGCCAATAAATGTGTGCAACATTTATGTCAGTAAAATTTTGTAATATGGCAAATATTTTTCTTGCTACAGACTTCAACAGAGGTACTTTTCCAAAATCTCACATTGCACACTTTTTTAGGGTGTTTTTTTCAGAGGTAGTAAATGTATGATTTCTCAACTTGCTTTATGCTACATATATTGGAAAAATGTTGAACTTTATGCCACTATTTTTATTGTTAGTTTTGCAATAATTCAATTAATTTAGCTGCTACATTTGTTGGACTGTCCCTTATTACCCCACCCATCCCCTATTACCCCATTTGATGATACTGTTAGTAATTGACAAGTTCACTCTGCATGCTTTAAACGTTTTAAAATTAAGTTTTATATCAAGTGTCCCAAAGTACCCCGATACCAGGGGAAATTTGGGGCACATTTCTTTTGCGTCTGGCACCTTACGAATGGCATATTGAATTTTTTCAGAGCTGCCAGACAATAGCCCTCGCAAAGACCTTTAAAATGAGCCCAAACTCGTATATGAAATGTTTCATGGTAAGAAGTTATCAACAAAAATAAAAAAAGCACCCCTTATTACCCTGTTTGATGGTATACTCTATGTGCTGACAACTATCACTACAGTTCCTGCCCGTCATGGCCAGCTCCATATCATGTCAATGTTTGTATTTGGTTTTATAGCTCAAACAGTCCCTCGCAAAGACCTTTAAAATGAGCTTAAACTCGTATATGAAATGTTTCATGGTAAGAAGTTATCAACAAAAATAAAAAAAGCACCCCTTATTAGCCTGTTTGATGGTAAACTCTATGTGCTGACAACTATCACTACAGTTCCTGCCCGTCATGGCCAGCTCCATATCATGTCAATGTTTGTATTTGGTTTTATAGCTCAAACAGTGTTGCATGTTTCATCTTCCCAGTTACATATTTCTTGTCAGTTATGTGAAGACTTGTTCCCATCAACAAATATAGGTATTACCCGAATGAAATGCAGAGAATCTTTTTTGCCATATAATAATAAAATTAACACAATTAAAGAACAAAATATTGAGAATGGCAAAAAAATGTTTATAATTTCAGTGAAGGGATCAGACAGCTTGCTGCCACTCACAATGCAATTAATGTTGCATATTAAAATCCTTTATTATTATATTTGATATATCTACTTTCATTATCCAGACTAAAGATTTTTTGATAGTTCATAAGTAGAAATAGTATTAATTTATTTGAGTTATCTTAAAAATATTCCTCTTTCATGCAATATTTATTGAAAGATCTTGTTAAGAAAAATTCCAGTCGGAGAACAAACTCACCTGACATTCTGTACTCCTCTTCTCAGATACAATAAATATGTGTTTCTTTTGGAGACATTGTAAACTCCTCCTTTGCTCAGTAGTTATTTGCTTGTCTGTAGACTTTGCTTTCATTTTATGTTGAATGGTTTTTACCTCCAACCAATGGATGACTAGTGCTGATATCATTGATGATCGGAGATTAAAAGCTTGAGGAATGTCTAGAGAACAACTATAAATATATACCTATATTTGCTTATTTTCAAGCATGCTAATGTATAATTAGTGCTTCAGATTAGCATGAATGGAATTGTCTTCCATGACTAAACTGTAATAAGATGAATAACAATAATAAAACTATATTAGTGTTATTGTAATTCTGATATACATGCCATTTCCTGTATGGATTTTTCAAGCTTTTGTAGTTATGAGAATGATATGAAAATATTAGGCATCAATTTTATTCAATATATTTATTTTATGCCTTATTATAAATGACCTTCTTCAGAGTGGTAACCTTGCAAGGCTGCCATATTCCTCATGGCGAGCTCAAATATGGACGTGACTGGAGCATTGTGCTGCTGCAGACCCGAGGGATGTCATCCCTGCCGGCACATGTCAAAGTCTCTCTGCCAGCTCTCTCTCCCACCATGGAAATGGGCACCATTGTATCTTGGGAGAAAAAAGAAGGTAGCTTCATTGCTTGAAAAAGACTCGTGAGAAATTATTCACATCTTCCCCTCCTCATCTATTATCTGTTGAATAAATTTCTACAATCAAGTAGGTAGTAAAAATGAAATTGATGTTGAATTCATCTGCCTATTCACTGATCATTTGCCATTAGTATGAATGAAAATGCTAGAGAAGCAAAAAATCTATTCGGATGAATTTCATGGCTTTTGAACATTGCAGGGGACCAGCTGGCAGAAGGTGACCTGTTGGCTGAGATAGAGACAGACAAAGCTACGATGGGCTTTGAAACGCCAGAGGAAGGATATCTTGCCAAGATTGTGTTGCCAGCCGGCACTAAGGACATCCCGCTGGGCAAGGTACTGCTTTGCCAAGGTCATTTTTGTGGCTATATCAGCTACAATTTCTTTGAAACGCCAGAGGAAGGATATCTTGCCAAGATTGTGTTGCCAGCCGGCACTAAGGACATCCCGCTGGGCAAGGTACTGCTCTGCTGAGGTCATTTTCATGGCTTTGTCAGCTGATAATTTCCACACATTCTTACATACTCTCAGTTTGCTAAAAATTTGCATTGAGCAAGGTTATTTTTTTAATCAGATGGCAATAAGATTGTTATGCTAGCTCAGACTTTAATTATTTGCTCATGGCAGAGTTAAGTGTTAACTTTAAGGCTTTTAAGGCAAAGTATTGCTTTTAGAGACATACTTTCTGAGCAGCCTTGACATTCCTTCTTTTATTATATGTATGTCTGGCTTCTCATTCTTCTCTTCTTGGTGTAGTTCGGCAGAAGCTTTTGTTTTATGCAAATTTGATTGAAGACCAGAGCATGCTTTCTATTAACAATCTTCTTAGTTGTTTTTTCAATGAGTTGACAAAAATTTCTTGCTGGCACTGGCAGATCAAAAAGCAGGTTACCAAATGACATTTTAATGCAATGCAACGTTTCAGATATACAATATTCATTATCAAGCAGGCGAAGAGTTTTGAAGAAACTGGAAATACGTGAGCATGTATATTCATATGAAACCCTGCCAGCCTCATCTATACAAAAAATATCTTAATTGACCTTCTTCGCCTCTGTACTTCAGAATCTCCCTTCCGGACTCCTGATAACAAAGTTTACCAACAAATTAGCGGCGTCGCCATGGGATGCCCTCTGGGACCAACTTTTGCTGAATTCTATATATGTGAGCTGGAAAATCGAGTGTTACTCAATGCACAGATCAAGCCTGAGCTTTACTGCAGATATGTAGATGACATTTTCGTTGACATTCAAGACAAAGAGCACTTGATTGTACTTCACCAAGCTTTGGAACATGATTCATCAGTCCTAAAGTTTACTCGTGAAATTGGAACAAAACACAAATTGCCATTCCTAGATATATTGGTGCAAATTGATATTTCCTTTGTCACTAATGTTTACCAAAAACCTAGTAGTAAATGCCTCCAAAGCTATAAAAACCAGCACTGTGTGCGTTCTAATACTTAGGACATTCAAGACCTGCACATCCAAGAGTAATTTGGAAACTTAACTCAGAACTTGTAAATTAATCCTAGTGAACAATGGGTTTTCAAATAGAACTGTTAACACTGAAATATCAAGATATTGATCGAGAAATAACCGAATCAACAATGAAGCAATTTCTAATAGAACCGTCACAACAATCTTCTACCAAAACTAACTGAATAGAAGCTACAAAGATGAACAAGTCCTTCAGTCAATCATCCATAATAACATCTAGAGCACAGCAGATAACAGAAAAAGAAACTTCTGATCTACCGTACTTATAAAGTAAGAAAATTAAAAATCTTTTCATAAATAATAATCCCTGCAAAAAATCTGGTTTGCTTCAAGAAACTAATGTTGTTTATAAATTCTCATGTAATAAAGAAGGTTGTAGACTTCTTCAAAATATGAACTACATTGGTCTAACAAGCACGACCTTAAGCCGCCGACTAACATGCCATCTACAATCTGGAGGACCTAAGAACCACATGCGGGAAGCTCACAATGAGACCATCACCCGAGCGACAATGGAAGCCTGCACCAGCATAGTTATGCGGTGCCCTGACCCATCGAGACTGATGATAGCTGAGGCTCTCATTATCAAGAGCGAGTCTCCTGCCATCAACCTCTAAACTACAGGATTCGTCCGGACGCTGAAATTATTTTCAGAGTAATTTTAAGATTACCTATATTTAATATTGTATCCATTATACCACTGATATGTACTACTGTCATTTCCAAAAGTACAACTTCAAGTGTTGCAAAACCTTCACCTGTTTGATAATGGAAATTATATTTTCGAAACATTGCATTATATTAAAATGTCATGTGGTAACCTGCTTTATGATCTCCCGGCGCTAGAAAGAAATTTTCTTTGACTCATTGAAGAAACAAATGAAGATTGTTGTTATAAAGCATGCTCATGTCTTCAATCAAACTTCCAAATGTATATTTGTACCTATTATATTGTTAGTTTTCTGATACTCCACGAAACTCATGTACGTTTGATTCTTTGAATGCTCCTTATAATGAACAAAAATGAGTACCGGTAACAAAAATATGATTGTATTATGCACCTTTTGCAAGATTTTTTATTATCTGATGATGTGATTTATGCAAGCAAGCACAGCTTCTAACACGAAATGCATACCGGTACCTAATTCTGAAGTTCATTAGAAACCAGCAGCTTAGCTCAGTGTTGCCAGGCTTGATAATTCCTACCATTTTTTGACCTAAATCCAATCCCATCATTCCCATAATCCCTTATACTATTAATAGTGACGAAGTTTATCTATTCTAATTAGATTATTACCTTTTCAAACCCATATTTTACATAGTAGATATGACTCCCGTTGTACTTTTCCCCATCCTTTCCTATTCTCCAACTGCGAATGAAGATTTCAGTTCAGGTAATATCTTGACCCAACAATGTCATGGATACTCGCCCCAACAGTCCCTGTATATTTGTGGTGTCGCATTTTCTCATTTATGGAAAAAGGCGCTATGGTGCTCGCCATGTCCGTCCGTCCGTCCGTCTGTCCGTGACTTCACGTTTTTGTCGACGAGAAAATGCGCTCTCTGTCACTCACTGGAGTACCTACTGAGTTATATTTTTTCCTTGTTTAATGTTTCATACACGAGATTGAATTGCTTTCTTGTATCCAATACGCCATTCTACATGAAGTTTTTTCTTACAGCTGCTGTGCATTATCGTGAGTAGCGAGGCAGACATTGCGGCCTTCAAAGACTATCAGCCAACTGAAGGAGACAGCGCAGCAGCTCCTGCTGCTGTCGCGCCTGCTACTGCAACTCCTTCACCTACTCTTCCTCCTCCCCCTACTGCCCCTCCAGCAGCTCATACACCTCCCCCTGCTCCTGGGGCAATGATTTTTGCCTCCCCATTTGCCAAGAAAGTTGCTGCAGAGAAGGGAGTGGATTTAGCTGTGAGTTTAAATGGAAGTCATTGTTTCACCTGTGAATATTTTGTTCTTATCTTCGATTGAATGCTTGACATTAAACTCAAATAAATCCCACCGTTGCTCTTAATGGAATCCATCGAGTTCCACCTAAAGATCGTTTTTCTGTAAATGTATATTTTCTTCTTCTATTGATGACAATTTTACGACGTAAACTTGGTCTAATTTCTTCTTACTTTTTTCAGATTACTGTTAATATTCTTGAATTTCCTCTTTATATCCTTATAATGATCTATGATAATGTCATTTGTTTACTAGTTGACAGAACCTAAAGCTCTTCATGCTTTGTAGCGTCATTTTAGTGCGCGATCTATTGGCTAATTTGAATGATCTATTTTGTGCAAGCTACCTTAATTTGCTTGATGCCCGTTACAAAAAGGTTCTCAAATCTTGAGACGATGGTCCTTGTGGTTTATTTAAAATTATTACTCATATTTCCATATGTTTAACTTGTGACGGCAGACAATAGCGGCGGCTTCCGGCAAAGGGGGTTCGACTGACTCGATCATTCAGGCGCCCGACGTGGAGCAGTTTGTAGGGGCGGCACCAGCGCCTGCCGCTGCTGCTGTGGGTGCTGCCAGTGCCGACTACTCCGACGTGCCCGTGACGAACATACGAGCTGTGATCGCCAAGCGTCTTGTGCAGTCCAAGCAGACGGTCCCTCACTACTACCTCACTGTTGATGTTGCCATGGACGAGGTTGCTCAGCTGCGCAGGCAACTCAACTCCTTGGTCGAGGCTGAAGGCAACAAACTCTCCTTCAACGATTTTATTATTAAAGCTTCTGCTCTTGCCTGTATGAAAGTTCCTGAAGTTAACTCTTCTTGGATGGATAAATTCATCAGGATGTAAGTTTTATCTTTAGCATTGATATGATGCAGTTATTACAACCTTTTTCCCGCTTAAACATGTTTCTGAAGGTGATCATTCATTTAATTTGCTATCTAGTCATCAAAAATTTATTCTTAGTTGGCTAAACACTGCAATTGGTTTAAATAAACCCTTGCTAGCGATGATTTGAGGCCTCATAATGTGAAGCATATAAGCAATATAAGCGGCGACCTGCCGACCAGGTACAAGAGCGTGGACGTCAGCGTGGCGGTGAGCACGGACCGCGGCCTCATCACGCCCATCGTGTTCTCTGCCAACTCCAAGGGCCTCCTTGCCATCTCTGAGGACGTCAGGAGATTAGCTGCCAAGGCCAGGGAAGGCAAATTGCAGCCTCAAGAATTCCAGGTAACACAACTGGTGCTATGCATGCTTCCAAAATGTGCAAGTCTCTGCTTTCCGATGACTTGACGCTAGATGTTTTACGTTCCAGCGTGCGTGACGGCCGAAATACCAGTAAAATTTGGGCCTGATCCACTACGAGTATACTGGATAGCTGTGATGAGCGGTTTAGTCGTACTCGTCATGCAAGTTTTCAGCAATACTTCTTGATGCATGCACATTCTTTCTTCTGATGTTTTATTTTTTGTTCTAAATAGCATAAATTTGAGATATTACCATAGGTCATTTGATTGCAGGGAGGAACATTCTCGGTCTCAAACCTGGGCATGACGGGCGTGAAGAGCTTCAGTGCCGTGATCAACCCCCCACAGTCGTGCATCCTCGCCGTGGGTGCCAAGACACAGTCAGAGACAGGATGTCTGTGCTGCCAAGACACAGTCAGAGACAGGGTGTCTGTGCTGCCAAGACACAGTCAGAGACAGGATGTTTGTGCCGTCAAGACACAGTCAGAGACAGTGTGAGTTAGTCTGCGCTGCCAAGACACAGTCAGAGGCAGGGTGTCTGTGCTGCCAAGACACAGTCAGAGACAGGGTGAGTCTCTGCACTGCCAAAACACTGTCAGAGACAGGATGAGTTAATCTCTGCCCTACCAAGACACAGCCAGAGACACGATGAGCTAGTCTCTGCGCTACTAGAGGCCACACTCGTATGTTATAAATGCAACTTGTTTTTCAGACTCTAGACCAGAACTGGCATTCTAAGGATAACTCATCTTTATCTATCCCAGCTTCACAGAGCAGCAAAGTCTGAGCAGAGTACATGGGCATACGGTGCAAAGCCTGTGCTCAGTTCTCTGACCAGGTAGTGCTACTCTCGAACGTGTAATCTTATGAGACTTCCGTGGCTTTACCGATTTTCAGGCAACATGCTGTTTCTGCTGGAGATCTTTTAACTCGTTCAGCTACATCTGGCCACGATAACACCTGTGTGGTGATGGCCTTGTAATTTACGACATCAGTGTCTCCTCATTCCTGCAAGAGCGCTTTCCCAAGAACTTTTAGCAATAGGGATATGCACTCTTGGTCTCGGCATATTCGTTTCTAACGAGGGTTTGTGAAGTATGTACAATGACAGGATGATCTAGAAATGTGTGGTATTCCAATCATTGGACAGCAAATAGAAACTTCTTTATCTCCTAACTACAAATAATGTGACTGGATGAATAACAATCAATAATTATACAAGTCACACAATTCCTGAATATTAGTAAGCAAACTTTTTCTCCATGATAACTGTGATCCATGGCTGCCTTCTCGTCGGCCCGCCGTTAAATTCAAACTGAAAATTTACTCAATGCTCAGGTAACTCGCGCATTGCATGCAATCTATTGCTATATAAGTGATAAATATATAGAAATAGTGGTATGCTTTAGGTACCTGGTGATACATGTTGGCTGTACCAGGATACGCAGATACATAATTTGGATACTGCTCTAGGGCCGTTGATTTTTTAGTCCTTGCCCTGATGTTATTTTCTAATACTACTCATTCATTTTCATGCATGTTGTTTTGTTCCTGTTGCGCATTGAGAATTATTTCTAAAAATATTTGGTTTGAAACGGGAGTTGTCATCAGTAGCCAGACTGTTAACCTTCTGTCAACGAGGACATTACAAGTTAGTGCCATTCTTACCTGAATGCTGTGTAACGAGAGTTATCAATAACGAAGCGTTGAATAATGTTGATAACGAGAGTTACAAGTTACGAAGCGTTGAATAATGTTGATAATGAGAGTTACCAGCAACGAAGCGTTGAATAATGTTGATAACGAGAGTTACCAGCAAAGAAGCGTTGAATAATGTTGAAGTTGCACGGCAGGTACCGCACGACGCAGATGATGACTGTGACGCTGTCGTGTGACCACCGCACCGTAGACGGCGCCGTGGGGGCGCAGTGGCTGCAGGCCTTCAAGGGATACCTAGAGAAGCCCTACACCATGATACTCTAGACGCCACCTACATGATGCTCTAGACATCACCTACATGATACTCTAGAGCCGCCACCACCTACATGATGCTCTAGAGGTTGGCCATACTCTCCATGTAGTTTGATAAAAAGCTGATATTACAAAGCGATGGACAGTGAACAAATAAGTCTCGAATTGAAAGCAGTGATTACTACGTCTTTAATTGTACAGATTGTGTGGATGTTAAAGATGGAATTTATTGAAAGACAGCACACTTACTTTGTCTTGAAGTTGCTCATTTACAGCGGCTTTTAAATCCTTATCCTTGTTTGTTATTAATAATGCAGCTACCACAGATATTGTATCTGTTCATAATTTGAAACGTGCAGTTTTCATTGAGGCATTCCATCTACTGCCTCATGACTACCTATCTTTGTCTCTATATATCTGAGAAAAATGTGCGCACTTGAACTTATTTAGGTCTAGATAGGCTTTCTTAATTAACCTTTTCATGTAACCTAAATAGCCGCGCATATCAGAGCTACCCTCGGGTTCAAACATCAATGTTTTTGTTATCTTATAGGAATTTTTGTGGCCAGAATATCTCCGAGGTCTTATTGTTATCGCAGTCACACCGATGTGTGTGGCGTGCGTTACTCTACAGCTCTTGCCCTCAAACCTCATTCGTGTCCAGCGTGTGCCTGAGGCGCATTTAGCGCTGCCACGCTGCTCATCAATTTGTCGATCGTAACTAAGTCCCAGGCCTAAGATGCTGCGACGATTAGGGTCTTCTTGAATGCTTTTGTATCATTCTCTGTTTGTTATATTTGAATATTTTCAATGGAACGATGATAATGTAGATGAAATCTCCCACAGAAATATATTGTTTAGTTATTTAAGCCATTTATGATAATGTAATTAAAGAACATCATTCGTTAAATGATCGGACGCCAATCTCGCATTAGTGCGTTGAATGTCGGCCTGTGAATGTGTTTTGTGGTTATGCTTAATTGTTCCTGCAACTATTGCGTTGTTATCCTAATGTTTTCTGATGAATTACTGAATCAAGACTGGCAATGCACAGACGTGTATTGTCTATGGTTTTAATAAAACCCTTGTGTTTCGGAATATTTTGACGTGTGCTGGCGGTTCGGTACTTGTTCCTGACTTTGCTGCTTTGTTGACGTTTTGTTTTCTTGCTGTGGCACATCACACTTATATCCTACGTTATTTCTGGAACTGAAATCCTTATTTATTCGTTCTCAACTATCATCACGTAGTTTCCGTCCCAAGTCTTAATCCGTTTGTTCACTTTCTTTCTTATGCTTCTCTTCCCAGTTTTGGCATTTAGACAATCGATTGCAAGTTATTGTTAGGCTGCCATGCGTGGTCCGAAATTTTAACCTCCACAATTAGCATTTGTTTTCAGAAACTAAAAAGGTATGCAAGATTCTTCTCGGGATTTCTTCGCTGCTGCTTTGTGTTACGACCACCACCGCGTGTGTTCAGTGATGCTCTGGTGTAATATACTGTAATATAACTTACGTTGCGTCTCTTCCTCACAGGAGGCGCATCCATACAATATAAACGGATTAGAGTTTTCTTCCCTTGCTTTTGACTCGACAATGTCAAGTAACACACTGGCATACCGTCTTGCAACATAGTGACATGAGTCGACATGGTGCTGGTATAATAACATCAGCAGAGCCATTGTCAGTGCGTGTAAGTGTTCTTCCGCGCTCGATGCTGATGAAGATGGAACGTATCGAGCTGTAATTTCAAAAATATATACGAGTTTGTAACTCTTGTCAGTCGTTCACTGACGGCATTGAAGCTAAATTTGTCAGTCCTGTAGCCTGTAGAGGAAATCTACCGCTACGTGTACTGAGCGAGTTTTAATACCTCCGATACTTCCCCGTCCGCCTACGCATGTGATTACGGTATGTGATGAGCTGCGTTCCTATAAACTACGCCATTTACTATGAATTAGTTATGAAGCTGACTACGACCAGCGGGCTCGGTTTAGATTTGGGCGGTGATAAGGGGGCCACTCAAAAATACCATTATTATTAGTGGTCGAGCTTTGTGCGGTCATTAGGAAACTGGCGAGGCTAAAATTTAACATTTCTAGGATAAGCAATCGGTGTGCATAAGTCATGTTGATCAAAGCGTCGGTCTCTCTGAATCCTGTACTTTACAAAACCTACTTTTGATTAACTTACATTTTCATAAATTACTCTTAAGAGCGTGGAACCAGTCGTCTGTGCAGCTAGATAGCAAAGCCTAATATGTGAAGGCGGCTGCTGAAGGAACACAAACCCGTGGTTCTGGTCCTTCATCGGATAAATTTCGTCATTTTATCTTCTTAATTCATCATGTCACTGGGTGGAATCTGCGGACGACATGTTAAATACAAAGTTTCATTCTAAGTATTAGAAGACACGTGTTCGGTCGAGGACGCGGCTGCCGGGTGGTCTTGGAAGAGGTTATACGAGCGTGCGTCGTTACGGAAGGTTGATCGGCCTGAAAAAGAATGAAGTGAAATGCAAGCACGACACAAACTAACTTCCTCATTTTTTTCACCCCGTTTGCATTGGAAAGTGAGTTAATCAGCATTGGAAAGTAAGTTAATCAATGGTACAAATGGGCTTGTAACACCAAAGTTATTTTTTGGAGAGGTTTGAGAACTAACATTTTGCTTGTGCTGATCAAACGAAGAATTCATTATACCGCTTTGAGAGACTGAAGTCTAAATTGGACGTTTGCAGGGTAGTGGCGTGAACGAAGCAAAGTTGCCCAGCAAAAACACAAGACACGTTGGTAGGAAGCACTGAAACACTCGTGCTTCTCCCCCTTACGCAGTGGAATGTACGAGAAATAGGTGACGAGATGCTGCTCTATAATGTCCCAGAGAATGTAGAAGCTCACATAATTTATCAGAATTCGCTTTTTTTTTTTGCCAGACACATCGATCAATTCCTGTTGATACTTAATGTGGAAGTTGAATAATGCATTATATAACTATTTTTGAACAATACAATGTTATATATGCTAATTCTTACATGTAAATGACAGAATATTTGAAAATAGCCCGTCCACACTTTCATGAATCATGGTGCCGACCCGCACTGATACCATTAGTTGAAAATATGAAACGCGTTATTAAATATTATTAAATATATAATAACCCTTTGCGCTCAAATTTGGTGGTAACTTGGGGCCTCCTAACAAGCTTGTTCGTTGTAGTTGCAATTATTGTAGGTGCTACTTTGGATGAAATCGCATTGGGCGCGATTTCAATAAATATCTCATGAGAGAAATGCAGACTTTGCAATGTCTATCCAACCGCTCATCAATAGTCAGACGTTAAACTTAGTTGTGTTCCGTGCGTTCGGAATGTCTCTTATCGTTATCGTTTTTTTATGATGTCCGGGAAGCAATTTTTAAATTTCGGTTGAAAGTTTTTGTTCAAATTCTTTGCTTTATATGGAGAATCATTTACCAAGTATTTTGACGAGGAAAATATCTTCCGTTCTTCTCGTTAATTTTCCTTTAAATAATCTTCTTATGTTTCGTTTCTAGGAGTGATTTTGCGAGAAATATTACGAGCGGCAGAGGTTTCGTGTTGGCGGCCGTGGTGTCCGGAACAAAAAAACTGAAAGAAAACCAAACTTTTATCTCTGAAGCTTGGAAAATTATTCCCGTAGACTAAAAATAAATCTACTCCTCCCATTTTTTCGCCTAAAACGGGTATCTGTAAATGATAGAATAATTTTAGTGTCATTACGATTTAATAAATAATACCTCACAGAGTTTGTGGTAAAGAAGTAATGTAATTCCGCAAATCCCAATTGTTAATTACACGCGCACAAAATAAATTGAACTATATATCATTAATTCAGTATATAGAATTAAAGGCAGTAGCAATAAATCGGGCAGCAATCTTAAGGAGTTCTAATATTTGAAATAATACATTATCAGTATATGTTGTAAGAATGTCGTCAGTAAGGTTCCAGAGAAATACAATAACAGTAGGAACACTAATATTACAAATGTAATAATCAGAAGGTATCGTCGATGAACGAGCAATACTGGCCGTCTTCAATACAAAGTATGAAGAGCATATAGTGTCACACTAAACACTAATTTAAAATGAAATGTCATCCGTGGTCGCAAAATCACGTAAATAAATAACAAAGAATATAAAGCTGCATCGGTGTACAATGTTTGTATGCAATGCGTGTGCACACCACTTCGTGTGCACACCACTTCGTGTGCACACCACTTCGTGTGCATACCACTTCATGTGCACACCACTTCGTGTGCATGCCACTTCGTGTGCATGCCACTTCGTGTACATTTCGACCTCGAGGGAGAATAGACTTCTTTCGAGGATCCAGTCGATGTTTTTCACGTGGATAAGAACATCAACATTGAATAAAATCTACCGAACATATTTGCGGATATTCTATTCATGAAACATTATAGTCACAAATATTGGCTTTCATATCCAGCAAAAATCACTCCTAATTTATGTCCCCGTTCAATCAAAAGCGAAAAATTCCCGCGTGCACTTAATTATATAGCACGTGCATCGTTCGTGTTAGGCAGCACTCGCTCCACCTAATGTCTGCCTCTAAGTGAAATTTAGCTCGTATATAACAAATTTTCATACAAGGCCAGGTACGAGTATAACATCGATCACAGTTGGTATAACGTATGTGTATATATAAATATGTGCTTGATCATGGTTTCGCACATTTTCTGCATGACTGCTTTACATGCGAGAATGGAACACTTTCAACTCTAAATTTACCTTCATAATTTCTCTACCGTAAAAAGAAACGTCCGCGCGTGAAAACAAATATTACCACAAAATTATTTTCCACTTGTAAAGAGGGAAACCTAACCCGGATAGCGCAATTTAATTCAGTATTAAAGCGAGCCAATCGCACCTATAATTCAAATGAAAGATACCAGGATCAATGATGGTTCTAATCAAACATGTCTCCATTAGGTGTTAGGGGGGAATATACCGAAGGAAATATACCGATATACCATTAGGGAATATACCGAAGTTATTCAGCTTTGTCTTTAGATACCTCCCAAGACAAATTTTTCATTTTAGAATTGATCGCGTTTCTTCCGCTTCCATCTGCATTGGAAAATATTCCCAAATAAATATTTTGTTTGATTATCGGTCACATAATGCAAAATAGTTATTTTTTTGTTAGCAAATTATTGGTTGCGGCTCACCTCATAGTTATGATCAGTTTATAATTAGCACTTAAATATTGACGTCATCAAACATTTAATATCAGCACATGCGTGACCCTGAATTATTTTAAGTGGTAATTGTTGATTTATCACCAGCATTTAATATTATTATATTATTGCCTTTGATGGGCTGGATAGAGCGGCAACGAGTCGTGGTTCACTTGCAGCGCCGATGGCTGCGGCCGCTAAATTTATAAATATATTAAGCGCTCAACGATCCGATACCGCGGGGCGACACGAGACAATTCTTGCAATATTTGATTTAATTACGTCATCTTGGTGCATTTAATACAAAAACGACATCATCGCATATGAATTTGCTGTTTTTATTAGCCTAAAATACCTGTTGGAGATTTCGTTCCCAACAATTTTTACAGCACACGTCAAGAGCTCCAGTATAAAATATGAAGTGTCAGTATAGATTACAACAGTATAGTATATGATATTAGTGTATAATACGCCAGCAATATCAGCAATGACACCAGGACATGTATTAGAAATAATGGCTGTAACATCAACATAAAATATTGAATGTCATCATTATATTCTCCAGAATAGAAACAACAACACCAGAGTAGAGTAGGAGGTAGCTAACTTAATAGTACGTTGAGGCGGCACCAGAATATTCTCCAGAATAGAAACAACAACACCAGAATAGAGTAGGAGGTAGCTAACTTAATAGTACGTTGAGGCGGCACCAGAATAGAATAGTAGGTAGTAAGGTTCGTACGTGGCAGCGGGTAAAATTCTGAATGCCTGAATGGTGCGTAGCATCATTATAAGCAGCAGCACTATACAGGCATTGCTGGAACTGGTCACAGCTGTAGAAATTTTAAACCTATGGTGACACTTAATTTGAGCTACCGCACCTAAATTTATTCACTTGCCTTTAATCTTACTCGTATTGCCATTATTGTCTGAGAGCACAGATGTGGTGCACTATTTTCATTTAAATAAGGTGAGCTACACTCTTGAATTCGAACCAATATTGAAATTACTGAGAATACAAAGTGACTGGAAATTCATAGCTTAATTGTAATTCAAGTATCTGTTTCGAATAGTATGACTTCATTGTAAACTTCTGGCGTCGTCCTCGCTCGTAAGTCGTAACCGCTGCTTTCTTTAATTAAATGGATTTACTCTCCTGAAGCGGAATCTGTATTAACTCTGAATGCAGTACCAGCAACTGTTTAATTTCTATTAAAACTACCGCTATTCATGTGCATTTGTTTCAACTCCCTTTCCCTAAATTTTAGAGAATAAAGACTATTTCTGAAAGAGGAATATCCTCGAGCGTATAGGGAGGAAAATCTCC